AATAATTAAGGAAACAGTTTCAAAATGCAAATGAGGAAAGAGGGTTTGAGAGCCGGGGGGACAGGGAGGGGGTGACTGGCGATAGGGTGATGGGGAGCAAGGGTGGTGAGTGGAGAAAGGGGCCGCGGTTCAGAACTCCTGGTGGCCGAGGGTGAACTTGCCCGCTCTGTGCCGCTCCTAAAACGGGAGGGTTAGAAGACACAGGGGTCTGTGCAGAGTGGAAAGAGCTCCAGAGCGGGTGTCAAAGGCTGGATTTAATCTCCACTTGGGTCTGCAACTTATTAGCAGTGTGACCTTAGGCAAACCACTTAACCTCTCCGTGTCCCCTGATAATCATATCCAAGCCCAGCATGATTGTGAAGATCAAGTGAGATAAAATATGTGGAGGAACTTTGTAAACTGTAAAGTGCTAGACAAATGCAAGCTATAATCATTTTCCTAAATTTGGTTTCTGAAGATCGTCTTCTCAGAACTGGATCCACCGACGTGTTGGGTTTGCTTCCTGGATACTCTTATTGACTGACTGCCCTGACAGAACTTAGACCTGGGCATCACCACGTCACCACTGGCATCCTCCGGTGCCCACCAACTGAGTTGTAGCCAAAAACCACAGGTCAGAGGTCCACCCTAAGGACTATTGCTCCTGGGGGGTCACCAGCTAGCCCTGGGGCAGGGAGGGGGGGCATCACTGAGAACATCCCTGCTGAGTCAGCTCAGAGTTTAGGTCCACACAGATCCTCCAGAGAGTCTTCCTGTGGGATTCAGCCACTCCCCCCATCCTCTGGGGGGAAAGGTGATCTTAGCCCCTGTTAGCCTCAGCTTTTTCATCCTCCAAATAGGTATAACAATACCATTTATTGAATTGGAATGAGAAATAGATGGAATTATGCAGGTAGAAGCACTTACCTGAGCGCCTGGCACAGTTTCAAGCTGTCAATAAATGTTGGTTGTTATTATTACCACTGTGTGCTATCATATTGTTGTTATGGCTATCAGCAGCAGTGGGCACTAAAAATTCTATTCAAGGAAAGCTTTTCATTGCGGTTTCATCATTTACAGATGGGAAAGCTGAGGCCCCAGGAAGGAAGTGAAATGCCTTGTCAAATGTATGGTGTTAATGGACGATGTTGAGAATGGGACCCAGCTCATACTTCTAGAAAAGTCTCAGAATGTGGAAAAGGCATGTATGAGCTGAGCTGTGGCGTTTGTATGAGTGGGGAGGCTTTGGGGTGCAGGGAGCTGCTGCCCACAAGTTGAAGAACTGAGAGCCAGCTGGACCTCCCAGAGCTCTGCTGCCACTGGATAAAGGTGAGAATGGCACCCGCTGAATCAGCACTGGGCACAGGAGAGTCCCCACCACAGTAATGCTGTCTCTCACCCAGTGACAGGCTAGTGACATGCAATGAAAAGAGGGCAGGGCCTGGACAGGCTCATACCTGGGCAGCTGGAGCTGCAGAAAGCATTTTATTTTATTTTATTTTATTTGTAATTTTTAAAATATAATTTTTAATTATGAAAGTACCACATACGTTCTCTGTATAAATACAAATATAAATATAAATTTATAGTAATGTTTTATATAAATATAATATAAATATAATGTAAAATATAAATATAAGTATAATTTATATTATATTTATAATTATAATTTATAATATAAACACGTAAAACAAATATGATTAAATATATACTATAAAAATATATTGTATATATTTATGTATTAAATATTGTGTTATTTAATTAATGCAATTAATTCAATACAATAATTAATACAATTAATATTATATATTAAATATAACAAATTTAATATAAGTATATAATATAAATATTATATGAATATTATAATATAAATATTTTTTCTTTTACTAATATTACTGAAAAATATAAACGCTTTACAGAAAATCTAGAAAAGAGAAAAAAATTCCATAATACATCTCCCTAACATACTTTTCTCCCAGTATATTTTTGAACAGCATTTTAACATATTTCCTTTCAGTGTTTTCTCAGTATTTTTGAAAACAATTTTATTAGCTTTTTCTGCTTTATAAAATAATTGAGGAAACTTAGAAAAACTGAGAAAATACAAACATCCACTGTACAGATAAGCACTTTTATATTTTAACATAAACTTTCTGTGTATGCTGCTAAAAAAATCCCCTGCTGTTCATACTGCTTCATATTTACTCTTTTCTAACAAATCTCACTTGTCTACATTATTAAATATTTTCTGTTGTATTTTCTAACAAAAATATAACATTCCATTTTATTTACTCTATTTAATAATCCCCTGTTGTTGGATATACAGTTTATTCTCTTTTCAAAATATTATAAACATCCTTGTAATTACCTCTTTACAAACATTCTTGGTTACTTTCTATGGCAAAATTTCTATATGGATTGGGTCAAATCCATCACATTTTTAGGCTATAAAATATATTGTCAATGTGCGCTCAGGAGATACGGTTCCTCAGTACACCCCCACCAGAAAACGGTTTTCTCATTTCCCCACCCTCTAGCCAACAATATGTATTACCACCACTTTTATCTTTGACTAATATTTTGGAAGGCTTCTAACCATATAATAATTGCATCATGCTTTTTAAAAATTTAGTATTTCACAAGCATTCCCATGTTACTAGATTTCATAATTAGTTTCAATGATTGTATAACATTTTACCAAGCAAAATTAATCTACTTCACTAAACCATTTTTCTTTTGTTGGATAGCAGAGGTTTGGTTTCCTCCAAACCATTGTGGTGTAATAAGCATATTCATGTATGAAACTTTCCCCTTCACATATTAGATTGTTTCCGTGGAATAAATAGTCAAAAGTGGAATTATATGAGCTACAGGGTATAAAAACATTAGGAGGGTTGATACTATTGCCACATTGCTTTCCTAACGGACTTAAGAGTTGGTTAGCACACCAGCAGCATTTGTGAGAATACCAGTTTTGAAGCACTTTCACCAGCACCACATTCTAGGATTCCTCCCTCCCCAGCTGGTCATTTAACACACAAAACTGACGTATGCACTCTGATACTTTGATTTGCGTGTCTGATTGCTAACGAGGCTGGCATTTTCTCCTGTTTGTTTACTAGTTGCATTTTTGTAAAAAAAAAATTTTCTTGGTAAATACTTAAAATGTCACCGGGTTCCGCCCCCCCCCCCCCGCCTTTTTTCTTGCACATTGACTCCAGTGTGCAGGAGTCGTCACCTCGCAGGTCAACAGGGTAAGAGATGATGCCAACCCAGTACCAGGACGCGTGAAAGTCACTGTGACGTCACTGAAGACAAATTCTAAGCACCGATGGCCTCCTTCCCCACCTTCTTGTTTGCCCTTCACCAACCCTGGTGTCCCCTGTTTAGGGAAAATGCCAGGGGAAAAGGCAGGGGACGCTCTGCAGGTCTGGAGAGGTCACCTGGTCCCCTTTGCCTCTGGACTTGACTAGACTGAGAGAGCACATGTGTCTATATCTCTGTAACGAAATTCAGAATGGGCGTGTCGAGGGGGTGGGAACCGTAGAGCCTCCGGGTCCCGTGGCAAGGGAGGTGGGCTTCCTGCGCCTGCAGCCGAGCAGCGTCGAGCACCTGGTGAAGCATTAGAGAAACTGGGCGGCCACCTGCCCCAGTGGTGGCCTGTTTTATTCCCTCCAGAAACCTGCGTTGGGAATTTTAAGCGTGCATGTGTGCCTTGTAAACACAATAAGCCACCCACGCCGCTTCGCCGGTTAGCCCGGTGTCCGTGTCCGCGTCGCCGCCCTGCACGCACGAGGTCGGGAATTGTTCAAATCGCCCGCGGTTGTAGCAGGCGAGGCAGGGCAGTCTCCGGAACTGGACAGGACCCAGATGAGCCGGCGTGGGCAGAGCGGCGCCCGCGGCCCCGCGGCCAGAAAGGTGCCGGCCCCCGACGGGGCGGGGGAGGGGAGCAGGTTCCCGGCGGCAGGCCTCGGTGTCCCGGCCACCTCGGCGCACAGCCCCCGGCCGCCTTCCCCCGCCCGCCGTTGCCCGCTGCGTGACTCGAGCCCTCCCGGCCAAGTACGCGCTGTCCCTGGCCCAACCTCAGCCAGACGCGGGGGAGAGGGAGCGCAGGGGCTGGGAAGCGCCGGCGGGAAAGGATTTGGCCAGAGGAGAGGAGGAGGAGGGGGACGGTGGTGGATAGAGTCCCGGGCGGAGAGAAACCCCGGACCGAGAGCGCGCGAGCGGAAGACTGCGTGCGGCCCGGGCCTTCGGAGGGTCTGCCCCGCCTTCCTCCATCCTTTACTCCGAATGGAGCGGCAGCGGGGACGCGAGCCGCGGGCCGGGTCCGGAAACCCGCAAGCCCTGGGCGCAGCTGTCCAGGGCCACCTGCTGCCGCGGCCGAGTCCGCCGCAGTATTTATACCCAGGGAGCGAGCCCGCACGGCCCGGCGCTGGGGGCTGGGGGGGGAGGGGTGGGGGGGACGGCCCGCGAGGCCCCGCCCCGTTCTGTGCGGCCCCGCCCCCCTGCCCTGCCCTCCCCACTCGGGGCGCCGGGACCCCCACTCCGGCCCGGGTCGGCGGCCCGCTGCCGGGTGTGGGGATTGGCTGAAGGGCGGGCCTCCCTGCGGAAAGCGACGTCACGGCCGTTCCTGCAGTGTGAATGAATCAAAACGCCTGGGTGACCGCGGCCGCCCGGGCGGCCGGCACGCGAAGGGTGGAGGGGGAGGGGGAGAGCGGCGGGCGGGGGAAGGAGGAGGGGAAGAAAGCCAGAGCTGCAGCAACAGCGTCTCCTCAACCCGGGATGTGCACCTACCCGGGAGAGCGAGATCAAAGGGATTTGAAACAGACTGAGCACTGGCGGGGGGAGGGGGCCAGCCAGCCTGTGGAATCCTCCCGGAGAGGCGGAGGGTCTGGCTTCCACCGTGACTTCGGCGGCCTGGTTGGGGTTTTTATTATTATTTTCAAATTTCTGAATCCGGCTTATTAAGCGAGAGAGCAGGAGATCTCGGTAGACTGCGACTCCCTGGCTCTCGCTCCAAGATGATGCAGAGCGCAGCTGTCCCCGCGGAGGGGGCTGTCAAGGGGCTCCCGGAGATGCTTGGTGTGCCGATGCAACGTAAGACACCCCCCTTTCTCGCGGATTTAATTTGATAACAAGACAGCCAGCAGGCTTGGCCGGTACGGGGCGGGTCGGACGCTACGTGTAGCCTGGACTGGAGGGGCCGGGCGGGGAGAGGGGCCGCCGGCCCGGGTGCAGAGGCGGTCACAGGGCAGGGGCATTAGCCAGAGTGCGCTTAAAGGGCCTGGCTCTTGGCTTTTGGTGCCGAAAGTGAAAGCCCCTTGATCGTGCTCGAGGTCAGCCGAAGGTACCGAACCTCGCATCTCCAGCCCATGGCTTTTCTAGGAGCGCTGGGAGAGTGCTGTTTGGGGACACCATGGGAAGGAGCTGCAGGCCAGGCCTGAGGGCTGGGGTGGTCTCCGTAAATCATCCGCTTTCCCGGGGTGACGGTCAAAGCTCGAAGTACCGCCTGGGCAACTTCACCCCAGCTGGCGGGAAGTTGGAGAGCGCGTCCCCCGCCCCCGGGGCTGGCGGCGCGGAAGCCCAGGCCACACGCTCTGTCCCCGCGCGCTGGGCGTGCGCGCCTGGTGCGTCCTCAGCCGCTGCTGCCCGCGGCGCCTGCAGCCTGCGCAGCCGGGGACTGCCTGCTCCCAGTGAAGTCAACTCGCCATGTTCCAGCTAGCCGAGGAATGCAGGGGAGGGAGAAGCGCCGGGACGAAGTTGTGAACTTGTCTTTGCGCACAGCCTTTGCGCACACGAGGACACACTCTCAGGATGGCTTGGCCTCGGAAGGGGAGGGTGTTTGGACGTTTTGCTCGCCCACCCACTTTCTTTCCCGCGCCCTAAACTAGCAAGTCCGAGAGAGCTCGGGACGTGTTTATCCCAAGTCTGTGTGTGTGTTTGGGTGTGCGTGCTCAGGCATTTTCCCGAAGGGAATCTGTGTCCCTCACTCCCAAACGGAGTCTTCGATGGAGAATAGGTGCGGAGGTCCGAGCAGTTCCCGGAGCATCGCGCGCGCAAGGCGGGCGCCTATCGAGTCCTGCCCTGCAGGCTGGAGGGCTCTGGGGAACACTCCTGGGCACCGTGGAGAGGGAAAGGTCCCTTCACTCCGCTTGCCAAGGGGCTTTGCTTCCGCCCGCGATTTCTTAAGTGGAGCGGTAGCTACGTTCTCGACGTTTATTTTAAGTAAATAAAATAATGGTGTCTACCTACGAACTAGGGCGCGCGGCTGCGCCCTCCTGCGCCCTAGCTCTCCGCCGCAGGGATTCTGCTTGGACCCTATCTCAAAGCGCAGGGTGGGAGCGTCCGTTCTGGGCTTCCGTGGCAAGTTTTTGAGAAAGAACTAGAAGGGGATAGCTTCACCCAAACCCGTTAGGTTGTTCTTCGGCTGTATCCTGCAGTTATCCATTGTCTTTTCCTGTCAACTGTTGGCAAACAGTTCCACGTCTGCACCGCGTCTTGGGAAGTTTACTGCTGACCTAGATGTGTCTGCAGAAGGCTTTGGGGGTTGGCTGCTGCCCTTGCTGCCCCCACCCCACCACGGGCAAGGAGTGGGTTCTCAGCCCCCGCACAAACAGAAACACAGACGCTGGCAAAGGAGCTCCAAGTCCTTAAGCCGATTGTAGCTCTGCGTGGGGGGGGGGGGGAGTGTGTGAGTGGGCAGAGGGCGTGTGCATGACTCGTGTCCTTGTTATCCAGTACACCTGTTCTTTAATAGTTGTGGTCCTTAGGTGGACTGTCAGGACCACAAAGAAGGACGGGGGCGGGGGGGGGGGGGCTCTGCTCGGACAGCCTTTTTCAGGATGCTCTGAAAACACTCTTAGATTGTCTCACTTTTTGTTTCTCTTACTCAGAAACAAACTTTGATTTCCACCTCAGGAACTCGATTTCCTAAAATGCCAAGAGCTTGCCTTCAGAGCTACAGTTCATCAGGGCTCGAGCCTGGGTTCCAACCATGGAAAACTCTGTGAGGCAGAGAATGGGCCTCTCATCCCCCATGCCCAGCAGAGTCAGGCCGAACCCAGAGAGGTTGGTCTGCCCTTCCTTTTGTCTTGTCCTGGTTCTGTGGTCTGGGTTGAAGGAGGCAGTAGCCAAAATTGAGGGGCCCAATCTCTGAAGATTGGAGAGTCCAGCATTTTTTTCTTAGGGGATGTGCATGGAACATACCCGCTTCCAGCGGATGTGGCTGTTGGCCATCGAGCTGTTAGTGCTGGGAACTGGGCATAGGTGGGGTGTGGTCCCCTCACACACATAGACACCGCCATTCTCTTTCCTGGGACAGGAGGCCCCGGGGCCTAAGGACTTGAGGTGGGGTGGGGTTGGGGAGCATGCCCTTGGGCCTCAAGGAAGAAGGGGCATTCTCAGTCTGAGGGGGTTTAAACCTTGGAGGAGAGGAGACAACAGAAAGGCTCTCCCACAAGGGTTCTTCCAACCCCACAACTGGAAGGTTTGGGTTGTCCTCCGGCCCCTAGCTGGACACACACAAACAAATATTCATTTTCCTTACCCTGAGCCACCACAGATGGAGCACTTCGGAGCACAGATGTGGGGGTCCCCCAACCTGGGTCCCTCTGGTGTCCTAGCCTCATAGCGGTGCTTTAAGGTTTTGAATCCAGTTTTAGGGATTTGAATCCAGTTTGCTTCACCCGCAGTCAGACTATTCTTTTGAGGGTGGCTGAGTTACACTCCTTGATGGAAAACATGACCAAGGAGAGTAAGAAATTCTCTCTTGGCCTCCTTGCTTGCTCTCTGGCCCCCGGCTCCCCCCCCCCCCCCCCCCACTGCTCTGTCCTGGGCCGACTTGTTAGCATGGTTAACCCCCTCCTGCTTCCCCGAGGTGGGATTAGAGGGTGAGTGATAGCCTCGCCAATTCGACAGCTACGGGCGGCCCGATGGGGCCCACGCCAGGCTCAGACTTCTCGAGATCAGTTTGAGGATCTTCAACCGATTGAGGGGCGTGGCGTGGGGCAGGAAGCTCGGGGAGAATCCGGCGAGAGGAGTCTGGGAGCCATCCGTGGAGCAACCCAGGGTAGAGAAGTGGGGTCCCCCCCTTAAACCTCCGACGGGTTGCTGGGCAGCCCCGCTCCTGCCTCTGGGGTCAGTGTTTTCTAAGGAACTCAAAACCCCTGGCTCCTTACTCCGGGTGGCGGCAGCGCTGTTAGTAGGGGGCTGCACCCTCGAGGTCAAGTCCAGCACGGGCTCAGGTCACATCCAGCATAGGCCAGACGGCCCTTTTGAAAATTTTGGGGTGTTTCCCCCCCTAACCAGGTGGATAGGTTCAGAAAGGGAACTTGTTCTAAGCTGGTGGGTCCCAGCTACTTGGCCCACGATTAGGTCACGGATCTCTCTCCAATTGTGGGCACATCCTGCTAAGGCCCAGGTATTACCCCTCCCTCCGGGCTGTAGAACGCCAAGGTCCGAATTCTCACAGCTCCCGACCGGGGGCGTGGTGGGGAGAGGGACAGAGTTGGGTGCGGTGATCGGTGATGGCCTCCCGATCTTCTTCAGAACCGGTCTCCTCCCTGAAATCGTCGGTGTCCACACGCATCTCGGCCCTGCCCCTCTTGCAAGCTAAGACGACGCAGAACAGTAAGGGACATGCAGGGAGGTGGACGTTCTATCCACCCCTTGCCCTCGGTTTGGGCCTATCTCCCACTTGGTCTCTCCGCGCGCGCCAAGCGAAAGGACAACGGCCCCCGACGGCCCCGGGTTGCGGGCTGGAGAGCTGGCCAACCTGGGCGGGAGGAAGGAGAGAGCCCTCGGTCGAGGCACGGAGTGATAAATGGGTAACATGTCTGGGACATCTCCCATCCCACCCTTGTCTCCTAAAATATCTACTTCTTGCAGCTCTTACGAGCCCCGAAGCAGTCGGAAAAGGGTGTTTGATTTTGTACAAATCAAGTTCTACACCCAGTTCTTCTCTGGGTGAAGAATTGCTCTAGGACGCCCCACTGCCCTTTCTCCCCTTTTCTTCCCTTCCCGGGAGCCTGCGGGTGCGTGGGGGTAAATCTTCCAGCACCAGAGTCAGAATCCCCCCCCCCCCGCCCCCGAACTTATCTTCCTTGCAGACTATTTCTTAACGGGTGGAATGGACTCCTTTCCCGGACCAGGAGTTCTTTCAAACTCTGGAGCAGCTATTCGAGCTTCTTTCCATTCCTGCCTTCTCTGGTGGGGCAGGAAAGAAAAACAAGAAAAAAATTTATTATATGATATATATCGTCATATATTATATCTATGGAGAGACAGAGAGGTATTGATTGATTCAGATTCCGATACAGAAATTCAGACAGCAGCCCCGGGCACCACAAATCTCTTTCCCCGTGTCACAAAAACACTGTCAGGCGTGAGCCAACTTTTAAAGGTCAGGCTGGTGGCTGTCCCCGCCGGCAGATTCGGGCCTTTGCGCGTTGGGGACTCAGATTTCCTAACCTCGGGCATCCCACCGCAGCCTCAGGCCAGAGCTTCGCACCACCCAGACGGAATTGGCACCACGGCTTTCGGAGGCGGGTGGCCGAGGGCACCTGAGAGGCCGGCGGGCTCTGGCCTCCTGAGTTCCACCGTCTCGACCCAACAGGATAGTGAAGGCGGAGGGGAGCCCTCCGTGGCAGCGCGCGACCCCAGTGCACTCAGGGATTGGAATTAACGATTTCACCCGGACACGGAGCAGGCAGCCAGGGCGGGTGAGGGGCGAAGGTCTGCACTGAGCGGCCCCCGGTGTCCGGGGAAGTCGGGACTGAGAAGAGGAAGCAACCTAACTCGAGTTGTTTCCTCGCTTGGCGAGGCTCGTGGAAAACCAGCGCCAGGCGGGGCTGGCCGGGAGTGGCGTCCTCGGGTCCGAGAGCGCGACCTGCGTGACCCCGGCGCCACCAGGGCAGTGCTCCTCCGCCCCGCGGGTGAGCGCAGCAGGCCTGGGTGGCCCAGGGAACTGGCGATGCTTTCCTTCAACAGGCGCTTGCTGCGCGCCTGCGGGTGCCGTGCGCTCGCCCGAGGCTCGCCCGGGGTGTCGGAGGGCTTGCCCGGGGAAGCCAGTGCCGACAGGACGGCGCTTCTGGGAGAGC